TATTTGTATAAGCAGATGCAAATTTAAATATTATGATTCCTGTTTAAATAGAAATAAAATATATGTTACCATGTAGGAAAGACTGGCTAGGTGATCAGTGTGCCTATTTGGTTAGTCTACTGTCCAGACTGTAATAATCAATTGGCAACTTGAAGGACCCTACTTTCTCCATTTATGATTATCTTTAAACTGGACAGCTCCTTTAGACACTGTACATATTTAAATAAAGGATTGCACTCTGTAAAACAGAACACTCTACCAAGCATTAGGTTGCAGCTACATTTAGACTAATGCCACTTAAACCAGTGGAACCTGAGGTTTGCTGTGATCAAGGTAAGTCTCATTAACTTCAATAGGTCTGCCTTTAGTACATGCCTAGATGCCTGGATCCAACCCAGTATGCACACTGGGAAGGACAATGTCTGGTCCTCCCAATGTTCTTGGAATGTAACTCCCATCAGCCCTAGCCACCACAGCCAATGGTGAGGGATAATGGAAGTTTGACAACAGCTACATACCACATATTTCCCATCTATAATCTAGACAATAAGGAGGCAGATGAACAATTAGTCCGGTTTGGCATAGAGCAGCTTCTTCTGAACCAGCTCCCTAGTCTGTTTCTTGAAGAGTGGGAGTTTACTGCAACACTTGCAGATTTACAGGAAACTGGGTCTAGATGAAGTCATGTTAAGTTATCTGAAAGGGGAAATAGAAACAGAAGATCTATTAGTAGGCAAAAGGATAAGACACATTTTGGAGACAGAAAACAACAAACATTTCACATATTTTATTTAAAATATTTAATTTAAGATGATGTGGGACATAGTGTTATTAATCAAATTGACAAATTTAGCAGGATATTTTTTTTATAGGAATCAAAATAAATGTTCATATTTATTTATTTCTGGCATAATAAGCTTAACAATAAGGTGCCACCATACATACATGTGTGTATGTATGTTTAATGTTGTAAGGAATATTTTAAGAATAGTACTGTATTTTGTTTGACTTTTTGTATGTGCTGTAGTAGTTTGAGTGTTGGACTATGACTCTGGAGATCAGGGTTCGATTCCCTGTTCGAGCATAAAAAATCCACTGGATGACACACTCTCTCAGCCTCACAGGATGGCAATGGCAAACCCCCTCTGAAGAAACCTGTAAAGAAAACCCTATTATAGGTTTGCCTTAGAGTCACTATAAGTAAAAAAAAAAAAATGGCTTAGAGGCACACAACAATAGCAACAAAGCTTAATGCAGAGGAACATTAAATATTTCTTCTTCTGTTTTATTGCTTCACATTAACTATAAATTAACCTGGTTTTGTAATTTGTTTGAGTTTTATCAGTAAAATTGATTATCAAATCATGTTTGTGTTTTTCTAATACAAACATTCAATAAAATTTTATCAGAAACTGATCTGTCAGTTGACCAAATCTTTTTTAACTGGCCAGATCAAATCAGATACATGGTTATCCCTTCTTCAGCATAGCCATATCTATGACACTGACAAAGTTTAGAGATTTTTTTTTCAAGAAAGCACAAACGCAATAGCATTTGTTAATTTTTTTGTGCACAATTCACATTTATATTAGATAAGAACAGTGACCACATGCAGTGGCATCTGTGGATAAGATAGCCCTCTTCCTTTGTTGTAGCAATTCATCAATACATTTAAGGGGGGGGGGAACAGAAGATGTAGCCTTGGCTAAGTTCCAAATAAATATAATCTAACACTCCAAAGTATATTATTAAAACCAGACAATGAGAGAGTCAGCTGAAGCCATTTAAGGGACATGTTCTAAAGTTTGAGCACCATGGTAGAAAAGTGCTTTCCCTTCCCTACAGCAAGCAAATCTCTCCAGAACCAAGATAATGGGCCCAGATATCTTGATCCCATATTAATGTCCTACACAGGGCCACCCTGTGTCATTTTGCCCCCAGAAGTGAATGACAAAATGGTGCAACACCCTCATTCTATGTACAAAAGCTAACCATTGAGTTATTCAGATGGTGAAAATAATCTGGGCTGAATTTTTGCTGTTCAGATGCATTCCGAATGCATCTAATTAAGTTTTTTTTTGGGGGGGGAGGCTGTCAAACCCCCCACTAACCCCGGGATAATCGATATAACTTTTCCCCTGAGTTTTTTTTAAAGATCCGGACAGTCAGCAGTGTGAATAACTAATGTGAATAGACCCAAGATTAACCAGGATAAAGAAACTGTATGCCTTAAATGTGTTTCGAATATGTTAGCATCGCCGGCTCCATCTTTATTCGAATGCTGGCACATGTGAGCAACCATACTCACAGAGATGCGCATCAATGTGATTCCAGAGTGTGGATAACAAACCTGGAATGCGTGGGTGAGATGATTTGCTTCGTCATGCTAAAAAAAAAAACACACACAAAAAACCCCACCTACATTTAACTGACCCCCAATTGGCAGATGGGCTTTACTTCAGCACTGGTGGCAAGGCAATATCTGAATGCCCTGCAGCTGTTTTGATTTGGCCAAGATAGTCCTGATTCAATCTTGACTGTCCCAGATTTTTAGCTGCTTTTAAAATGTTCCAATTTCTCTCTCCTTCTCCCCCTTTCCCCTTGGCTTTCTTCAATTGGCACAAACTAAGTTCAAAGTGCTAAAGTAGCATTCACTCAATTAACTCAGTGGAGGGGGAGAGAAAAGGTGCAATCTTGCCCTTCCCAGTAGACTCAGGCACAAGTAAACTGCTGCAGCATTTCCTAGTTTGTGTGTTCAACTTTTACCATCTTGGCCATACTCTCCGGTTGCTTGACCATAAGTGTTTTGGTTTTCATTTGTGAAATGTTTGAGGCTATGCATCCATCACTGCCCTTGAGGGAGCAGCAGGGTTGCACAGAGATCATGTCTTGTAACACAAAAGTCTGTGCTCCTGTCTGTGTCCTTAAGCATCTGATATCTGAGGTAATCACCTCATTTTGCCCACTCGCAAAGAGAGACAGCGTGGTATAGTGTTTTGAGTGTTGGACTATGACTCTGGAGACCAGGGTTCAATTCCTACCTCAGCCATAAAACCCACTGGGTGATCTTGGGCAAGTCACATGCTCTCAGCTTCAGGGGAAGGCAATGGCAAACCTCCTCTGAACAAATCTTGCCAAGAAAACCGCTTGATAGGGTCGCCATAAGTTGAAAATGACTTGAAGACACACAACAACAGAGCCGCCAGACCAAACCCTAAACAGTTGGTCTCTTTCATGTTACACATTTATAGCACTTTGATACCACTGAAACTGTCATGGGTCCATTTTAGAAAATCCTAGGATGTGTAGTTTTATGAGGTATTAAGGATTCTCTATCAAGGGAGGACTTGTGCTTCACCAGACTACAAATCCCAGGATTACACAGAATGGAATCAGTACAATTGGGGTATCAAAGTAGTATAAAAGAAGTCCTAATCTGATACATTTCCTTTCCAAGGTGACCAGTCTAAACACACACATACCAATGGCTATCAACCAGTATGAAAATAATCAGACAAGTTTTAACTGGTTGGCAAGGGAATACTCTCCAACTGTCCCAGTTTGACCAGGGCATTTCTGATTTATTCTTGACAGTCCCACTTTTTCAACTGCTTTTAAATGTAAGAGTTTCTCTCTCCTCATCCCACTTTCCCCTTTGCCTTCAACTTCTTACAGTTGGGCCTCTATATCCACAGATTCTTTATCTACAGATTCAACTATCCACCGCTTGAAAATATTAAAAAATACATACAAATTCCAAAAAGCAAACTTTGATTTTGCCATTTTATAGAAGGGACACCATTTTTACTTATATTCTATTTAATGGGACTTCAGCATCCATGGATTTTGGTATCCGCGGTAGGTCCTGGAACCAAATCCCAGTGGATACTAAGGGCCTGCTGTACTTCAATTGTTGTAAGAGGAGTTAAAAGTGAAAATTTATTAGCTCTCAGTTAACTCAGCAGAGAAGAGAGGACAAGTGGGAGCAGAATCTTGCCTTCCCAGCAGGCCCAGGCAAAAGCAAACTGCTGTAATCTCTCCTAGCTTGTGTGTTTTTCCTCATTAATAACTTTTGCCATCTTGACCTCACTATGATTTTACATGGCCACATACATTCTGGTTTTCTTCTATAAAATGTTGGAGGATATACAAGGGAACATTGGAACAGGAAGGAAAATGTGAGATAACAGCCCATAATGTTTTGATAAGGTGAGCCTGAAGAACAAAGGCATTTGAGCTATAAAGGATCAACAGTGGTTTAACAAGGATCTTAAATGGGTCTGACGACAGGTCAGGTATAATAACAAAAGATGGGCAAAGTGCCATAAAAAGAGGAAGAGGCTATATTCGGAAGTCTTTGAGGGACTTTCTGGTCCAGGACCATATTTAATTCTTCTCTTCTGCCACAACAAACCAGCCTTTTATGCATTCTGTATCACCAATTCTCCTTTCCTTTAAAGTGCATTGCTTAACTTTACAATCTATAGCTGTCTTTCACTGATACTGATCAACAGAGCAACATTCTCCATGGTTACTCTGTTTATGTTACCTTTTCCCAAACTCTGGACATCTTAAACATATTTCCTTAAGCAAATTCACTCTTACATCTTGTAATTTAAGATTAAAGGTTGGGACAGACCTTTCCCAAAAGCTCCTTTTTGGGCGACAGTCTCCTGAATTCTGCAGCCAGCACACTGGAAGTGTAGTTTAAATATTTTTTAAAAAAGAAGCTTTTCCAACCTCTGGGAAGAGACTGTTGAACAGTTTAAGATCAAGCATAGGAAATAATTAAAAGATGAAATATCTGGATTCAATTTAATCAGAGAAATTTTTAAAAAATTTAGATAGTAAAATAAATATGCAAAAGGACGCACATGAACAGTTTCCTGCCCATGGCCTATGTCCTCACAATCTGTTCCAAAACACAGTCCAGATCAGAGTTGAAAGTAACTGATTACAAATAATAAGTAACTTGTAGTGATCGTGTCCCCCCCCCCCCCCCCCCCCGTCAGTAAGGAAGGCATGACAGGATCAAGTAATGTCATGCCACTACAATGGTGATGTACCATCACATATTTTTCAGTATAACTGTTACTGTTTCTACAATACACTGTTACAGAGTGCATGTACATCCTTCCTCTTTAGATTTGTTTTGTATGAAATATTACTCTTGTTTCTTTTATGTAACTAAAACACAACCATTTTAGTTATTTCTGAATGATGAGAAAATAAAGAGTTCCTTTATAAAACTTTTAACTACAGTTGGCCCTCCATATCCACGGATTTTTTATCCACAGATTCAAGCATCCACGGTTTGAAAATATTAAAAAAAAATCCAAAAAGCAAAGCTTGATTTTGTCATTTTATATAATTTACACCATTTTATTTCCCCATTGTATTTAATGGAACTTCAGCATCCACGGATTTTCATATCCAAAGGGGGTCCTGGAACCAAACCCCAATGGATACCAAGGATCCACTGTATAAGGCCTAGCCTGAAAAGAAGGCACTCCCTCCATCCACCATAATGTATGTTTTTAATTTGTATCATATATTTGTAAGCCGCCTTGATTGCTCAGGCAAAAGGCAGGATATAAGAAATAAATTTATTATTATTATTATTATTATTATTATTATTATTATTATTGATATTAGGTACTTTTTCAGAGCCTGGAAAAGTTCCTTTTATTGAATCACAGCTCACTTAATTCCCCAGTTACTGGAGTCCTCTGCCATTAGTCAAAGAGAAAGGAGCTACTGTTAGGTAGCACCCTTCTCTTCTTAAACAACAAGCCCAGATGTGATGAAGGATCAAGCTGTCCCAAATGTCTATTACATGGGTCCCCAAATTATGGCCGGCCCGTTGAGGCCTTCCTACCGGCCTGTAGCCCATCCTGCCGCCGCTGCTGTTGCTGCTGCACGTGCACCGCCAAGCACCATTTTGTCTTCCAAAATGGCATCCAAAGTCATGCGCATGCGGCCGGGATCGCATGCGCTTGTGCACAACTCCAGGCACCATTTTGGAAGACAAAATGGTGCCTGGAGTCGTGCGCATGTGCGCGTGATGCAGGGAGCCATTTTGTT